GGGGGGGGGGCGGGGCTCGACCCTATTAAGCTGGCATTTCAGGGAACTATTTTATATATATATAAGGAAAATTTGAAAGTTAGGGGGGCGGCTCGGGCACCCCCCTGCCCCTACCTGGCTACGCCCATACGCATGTACACATCACATTTAATGAATTACAAACAATGCATTTTCTATGAATAGTCATCAGCAGCATCAGCAGCCTTCCAAGCAGTTAAGCGCAAGCAAAATCTTAATATAAGCAAAAATGAATATTAAAAATATTTGCTTGGTGTTCTCTGGCCATCGCTGTTGTTACTTTTGTTTGGCATGTGTAGAAACGAGCTACTGCTGTTGCTTTTGTTAAGGCCCGTATACATACAACTTTGACGTTGCGTTGGCGTTGGCGTTGCTTCGACAGCTGACTATGAATCCATGCATTTATATGAAAGTCTCCACATAACCAAAGTTGGGCAACGCCAACTCGCAACTTTTCGCGCGCGTCGTTCGTCAGCTGTTCCAAATAATCAAAATTATGTGATTTAATTTTCCTTTTCAATCAAATGCGGACAAGAAATATAGTTTTTAATGCAATTATTGATATAAAATTTTGATTTATCTGACGCTAGTATGTTAATTTAGTGACCAAAGTATTCTCTGCTAAGCGTTCATTGTAGCAAGCACGGGCGTTACTCGCGATGCTGTCAAAGCGACGCCAGCGCCAACGCAACGCCAAAGTTGTATGGGGACGGGCCTTTAATGATAGGGAATTTACATGAGGCGATTTTTCAGGCGATTTTTAGTTTTGATTCAAGTAATCGCCTGTGAAAGTTGAATCATGTGAATTTCCTATGATGCTATCAGCAGAAGCGTCTGTTTCTACTTTATCTGACGACTCGTGTTGTTGACGGTGTGGTTGGTGAAACTGCTTGGAGATGGCGCTCTTGTAGTATATTGGCTATGAAGCAGCAATTTCCATCACGCGTTCCATATGCCACCGATTGTCGTGGATCAATTAAAATACTGTCATCACAGCTTTTTGGTACTCCAGCAACTGGTGTGTCTATGGCGGAGTTATGTGGAGCTGTTGCATGACTAAAATCAATTTGGACTCTTTGAGAACTGGCTTGTTTGTTGCGAAAGCTATTGGCATCGAATGTATGCAAATTAGAACGAGGAACTGTTGAATACAGGAAAAATATTATATTATATAATATTCTCACACACAAAGCAGAAATTACCTGTCGATCCTCGCCCGCGGAAGCAAAATGTCTACCATGTGGAGAGAAAGCGACGGCGAAACTCTGTCAGTATGGCCAGTTAGTGTATAATTTTCCCGTCCATTTTGACCTGGTTCCGCTAATGTGCACTACTACCGTGTATAAATTGGTCGACCTTCTAATAAATCAAGCAATGTTATTTTATCGTCATCGCCGCCAGTCACCAAGAAATTTCCACCTGGGTGAAATGCAACATCATTCTCCGGCGACGAATGCACTTGATACAACTGTATTAGCTCGCCTTCGGCTATGTCAAATATCTTAACGCGGTTACAACTTAATGCTAAAGCCACCAGATTACCGTCTGGATGCCACCAGATTACTGTCTGGATGCCACCAGATTACCGTCTGGATGCCATGCCAGCTGTCGTCCCATACCTCTTCCCCGGGTGAACGTTCGCACACATTCGCCTGAAGATGTATCGCAAATTCTTAACTTGTCGCCGCACGATGCAATTAACTGGCCATTAGGGCTGAATTTTGCTGCGCCACCCAATTTGTGTGTCCAGTCAAAGATGTATATTTTGAATCAGTATTTTGATGGCTGTTCGCCATTTTTTCGAGTCTGCAAACGAATAAGCTGACGAAGATGCAAACAAATTAAAGCACATTGTTGCATTCTACCGTACTTTTTAAAAGCTTTAAAATCTTAAAACATATGTGAAAAACTTTTATAATATGAATATTTATAAAGTCGAAATCAAAAGGAAATTTTATAAATAGCATTTTTAAAAAAACAATCATCTAATATTTTCCAAGTTTTTGGGCATATATGTTACCATTTGAACAACAAATAGTACTAAGTTTTATGAGACTATTTAATGCAACTCAGGTCAAAAAGGCAGAGGTTTGACCAAAATAAGCAACCCTAAAAAACAGATGATCGCAGCTGTGGCCCAGGATGACGTCTATTGCTAAGATATCTCACTTGTATTTGTACACAATGGTTGCATGCAAACATTAGATGAAGCAGGTTGATGCCGCATTATTGTTGAATAAGTAGGTACACTGAGTAAATTATGTATGTAATTAGTAGTAGTAGTAGTAATCTGTATATATAAATGTGAATGTCTGTTTGTTTATTACCTTATAACTTCTGAAGCGCGGCCCGGAATCGCACAAAACTTTGCACACTTATTTGGTTTTACCCCGGGAAGGTTATAGGCATAGAAAAAAATGGGCAGTACTGGAAAAGAAGGCGTGGCACCCCTATACTAACTAAAATTTTCATGTTGTATATCTCTTGAAACATTTGTGGAACTTGCTGTCGAGCTAAATAAAATTAATTCCATACTCATGTGAAAATATGGGCTATATTGGAACCGTCACATGAACTTGAAATTTGGTATGCAAACATATCTATGGTAGATGCTTATCTTAAGGTATATATAAATGAGTTTGTAAAAGGGGGCGTGGCAGATAACATAGGCTTGGAATTTTTTATCAGCCATAACTTCGGAACCACAAGTCACATGACCCCTTTAATTCCTTCTGACGTGGGGTGAAACCCGCGGGTAAAAGCTAGTTTTGTTTATATTCTTTAGATCCAGAATAACAAAAGCTTTGAGAAACTCAAACAAACTTTAAAATTAAAATAAATAAAAGATTATAGACAATAATAATAAATGTTGTCTTAAAAAACCAAGTTTAGTTCTAACTGCTATGCAGACACACAAAATTTATTGTTATTATCTATAATCTTTTATTTATTCTAATTTTAATTTTAATTTTAAAGCTTGTTTGAATTTCTCAAAGCTTTTGTTATTCAGGATCTGAAGAATAAATAAGTTATGCAATTATGTGAGTTATGTAATAATACCAGACTAGTCCTCAATTAAAACATACATTTGTTATTTATCTTTTCGTTTAGTCGTAATTTTAAATTGTTTTTAAATGTCAAGTTTTACCTAATTCAAAAAGAAATATATATTTTTATTTAACTTCCAATTGAAATTAACGAAATTATCTTTTAATTTTCCTGGTTATCGAAGCACGTACGCTTTTTTGCTCAGAAATCCACATTTAAATTATTTCCAAAAAAAAATAAAGTACATAAAAATTTTACCAACTTTTCTCTTACTTAGGGCCATTAAATTTGTTTCTATGTTGTTTAGCTCTAGAAAATATCGCCCATTGAAAAAAATGCTAAAAAAACATACCGAAGTTTTTATAATAAATAATACAAAACAGAAATTTTTCTCCGTGCATTACCACCAACACATTCTCATTTTTATGTAGCATAACTAATACATTCCCATTTTAAGACTTTTCTCTTTTTGGCTAGCACTGTATTAGCTGTACCAGCAACACAAGTTTCTGTTGAACGGACTTTCAGCGCACTTTCTACAATACTCACTAAGTTGCGCACAAAATTGTCAAAAAAATCGTTATTCGATCTATTGATAACATAATCTATTGATAATTAAATTTTTGTATTCTCCACTTCTCAAAATTAAAAACTGAAGAAAATAAATAGATAAAATAATGTGATGTAATAATTTGCTTAATTTTTATATATATGTATATCTGTATTCACATGGAATAGTAGTTTATGTCGAAAAGTTGGCTTTAGTATAATGCGGCATTCGCAGCACACGATTTATATTTTCCAAAAAAAAAAAAAATTTTAGAGGCTGCTCTATAATACGATTCGAAAAAGAAATGCGATGCAATAGGCATTACCCCTGTTTTACATAAGTGGGAAGATTTTTCTATTACTTCTACCACTGACGACAATGCATATATGTATGTATATGCATACGTGCAATTATAGCATAATTCCTTATAAAAGCGAAAAAACATCTTCCATACAACGCCCTAAAAAGTTTTCAGGATAAGCTGTTGTGAGGGATCGCGAATGGAGCACCCGCATCGTTTATCTCATTTATATAGGTGCACACCAAAAACTCTTACAAAATTAAATTTTATGAAGAACGTACGTATTTACGAAATATCTGGTATTCAGGGAAATCCCAACTAAAGCACACAACTCCGCACTTAGCAAAATGCAGTTTGAAGAAAAATTCACTACCTGATACAACTCTAAAATGAACGAAATCATGTGCTCTGTTTCCGCAAATATTTATAAAGCATACTAATTAATGGAAAATAAACAAACGGTAGGTAGAAAGCTGCTGCAATATTGCATATCAGTGTAGATATTTGAGATTTTTAAATTGTACTAACTTAACGACAAAAACTGTAACTTTTTGAGCTTAATTGTACTTTTCACCCTTTCCGTCAATACATTACCTCCCGTTTTCCTTCAACCAAACATACACTATTTTTTGTCTACTACAGTGAGTTTATCTTTCAGTTCATTGTACAGCTTCAGTTGATATAAACTAAATTTAACGTAACTTATCATTGAGATCTCTCCAACTAGCCCATAAAGTCATAGCCAGTTTTGTCAGAAAGTCCCACTATGTTAAACCAAGTTTCATTAAGTTTAAAGTTTAACTTAAGTATACACAAATAAAATCTTAAATTGTATTCCACATTTTTAAAAGTACACCACGCGATAAAATTCTACGGTCACCTAGTTTGAGCATATATTTAATCTTTTCATATAAAATAATATGCAAACATCGTTATATGGTAGAAGGTCAACAAAAAAAAAAAAACAAAAATCAATGGTATTTTTTAGACATTTCAAACTGGCTCCTTTTAATAAATTAATGACATTCAAAAATGTTTACAAATTCTGAATAAAAACTGTGGAATTTTGATGAAAATTTGTTGATTTTTTCAATCTTTGAATTTGTGATTTATTTCGTTTTGTTAGACAATGACCTACAATTTTATAAAAAGAAATAATATTAATTAGAAAAAATATAAAAGAAATAGCCTATAATTTTGTCGCGGGATGTACATTCAAATATAAAGACAATAACGACAAAAAATTTATAAAGATGATAGATCAGTTTATATTAGGGAAAATAAATCATATAAAATGAGATCAGTAACACTAAAATGGAGGTCCACAATAGAAATTTTTAGTTTCAATGCATGAAATTTACGTAAAATTGTTTACTTTCAACCCCATTGTTACTTCATTTTCTGCTGGATCGTCATTAGGTAAACTGCATTTCCAGAGATTTTTTCAAAATAAATAGCGATGAGGGATATTTCACCCACCGGTGATAAAAAAAATCGCAATAACCACAACGCTCAACAGTAATATTACCATTCACAATCACGTTTACTTTCAAAATTACAATTCAGAATTTCGTTTCGTACCAAATATGAAATGTAGGTATGTGCTTTTACTTAAACGCAAACGGATTAATAATCAAAGTGCTGGCAAAGATTTCAACGTTTTGCACAAAAAGTATGTTTGATGTTGAAATTGTACTTAAAATAGGTAAATTGTACTTTTGTACTTTTTAAAACTAATTGTACTGAAAAAAGTACAATTGTACTTAAAATATCAACACTGTTGCATATATGTACATACCAGGGTTGTTGCGAATATTCGCATTCGCATTCGCAACCGCGGAGCTTCCGCATTAATTTTAACATTCGCATTCGCTTTCGCATTCGCAATAATCAATGCGGATCTTTTGCGGATGCGAATATTGAAGAGACCCAAAATAACAGTTATTCTTTTAACGAGTTAAATTTGGCCAAATATTTTCCATTCCTAAATAAAAGTCCTTACCGGGTAATAAAAAACCGCTTACCCACATTATTGGTATCAAATGAAAGAGGGCTTAAATAGCTATAAAACTGAAATGTCTAAACAAGCAAAGTCACCTATTGAAAAATATCTCAATAAAAAATGATAATTAATTACCATAGAACAAACCTTGGGTCAGGTATATGAATTTCTTTAGTATTAAATGATATAAAAATATATATAAATAGAGGTGGTAACCTTCGTTCGTTATTTCTGTTTAAAAGCTATTTCAGTCCTCTTTCACATGATGCCAAATTTGTTTAATTTTGATAAGCTGTTTGTTTATTATCCAGAAAAAACTTTCGGAATAAAAAATACTAGGCCAAGTTTAACTGGTAAAAAAATAACTGTTATTTTCGGTCCCTGGAATATTATGCAAGTTCAATGATAAAACGTATATCTGGCCAGTCACAGAAGAAAGGATCAAAAATGAATTACAAAAACTAAAATCGAAAAACGCTGTTGACGTTACTGGTTCTCCACATTCAGAAACAACCAAAATAATGAGAATGAAGAATTCTTTGGAAAACAACGGTGTTTAAACAACGATCTTGCCATGATACTAGATTGTGAAGATGAAAGTCAGGAGGATCTATACGACATTTGCAGACCGATGCAATTCCCAAAAAAGAATTATTACACCGCAATAAAAAAAATAATAAATATAACTGAAAGTCCTCTCGACTGGTGCTGCGTCAATCGAAAAGAATTTACAATTTTGTCAAGTTTCAAGTTTTTCAAGTTTTTCGCAGCGGGCGAGTAGTTATTTAGTGGCGCAGGTTTGATTTACGACCCTTTAAAAACTTTTTATT